ACTTGTTACGATTTATATTCTTTTCAAAGGAATATCTTCAAATGTATATCGATTGTGCAGAGTGCTTCCAAAATGCTAGCACAACCGAACAGATAATCTGTATGAGAAAAAGAAATCCAATCTTTCCTTTCTATTCTTTCGTGAAACTTAAACTCAGACATTTCTGTGTATGTGTAGGATATTTATTTGCAACATAGAAAATATTGTCAATTTTTCAATTTTTTTTTTAAATAGTGGTTTATAGTCGCATCAACTACCCAGGTTATTAGCGACTGTTGACCAGTTTACGGAGATAAGGTTATGATCGGAAGTGGATGATTTGACATAACTTTTTCATAGTTGGATGAGGATTCCCATAGTTTTACAAAATTTTAGTAATGTGTCTTGATACGCTGTTGATGTAGTTGCTTCAGTGAGGTTGTTCTTGATGTTTAATCTTCCTCTGGCGTGGTTATATTTTCTGCATTCCAATATTATGTGTCTGGTGGTTATGGTTGTGTTGCATATATCGCACCTTCTGGGGGAACCGTTTTCGAGTATGTATGAGTGAGTTAGTTTGGTGTGTTCGGTCCTAATTCGGGTTACTGCCACTTGATTTCTTCTATTGTGCTTAGGGTTAGTTTTTAAATCATAGAATTTGTCGAGTTGTTGTTGGGTTGAGCTAGCTTTGTATTTCCTCCATGTAGAGTCCCATGACTGTTTTAGTAGTGTCGCGATATGATTATTGATGTCCGCAGAGGTGTTTAATATCGGCTGATTTTCTGTGACTGTAGTCGCTGCAATTTTTGCCTGAAGGTCGACCGTGGTGTTTCCGTAGATATCCATGTGGGAAGGAACTCACGCTATAATTACAGTTTTGTTGTCTTTGGTTAGTTTATCATATTTTTCATGAATTTCTAAGTGCAGTGGTGTATTTTAAAAATTTCAGTGGTGCATTTTATATTTTGAGTTTTACGGATGGTGGAGATTTTCAATTTCGATAATTTCAACTTATATGAATTTTTCAAAGCCAAATATTTTTGAATTACTGAACTTTTATAACACTAAGTGAAACCGCCACACTAGTATATCAGTTTAAACCTTATAGATACATTAATTTAAATAAATAACCTAAAGTAATTTAATTTAAATAAATAATTTATACCAATAATATTTTAATTTAATTCTGATGAATAGTTAAGAAAAGTTAATTTGCAAATTCTGTCATGAAGACAGAAAGACTCTCAATACATAAATAATAATTGCACTCATAACATTGACTATCAAATAACCATAATTGTTACCATAAAAAGTATCATTCGCCTAAAGTTGCAAAGAAGTGAATATACTTTTATGACCAACTGAACGTATATTTTTGGCGAATGAGTTCGAGAGATTAGTTGTACTAACAGCATCGTGATCGATTCATTAATGCAACGGCATCTGCGTTAATTGAGAGTCAATTAACCCAGTCGTCGATTATTCCAATACCCATTAATTAAACTTCCGATCATCTGCATGCATAATAACTGTCCCGTTATCTGGCATAATTGGCGTATCATCGAATTGGTAAATCGTGTTAATCCTTTCAACGACTGACGTTAATTAACGCCGAGATCGACAGCCAAATGGGTCTTCTTTCCTTACGTATCTCCGTGCAATATGTAGTCTGTATAAGATAAATGTTTATATGGGGTTGTATTAGTCTTTTACTAACATGTTCCATACGCAAAACTACGAAAAAGCTATATTAGTATAGGATTTAAAACACATTTAAAAAGTTCAAAATTTTGTACTGCTATTTCTAAAGAATTTTGTTCAAAGGTGTGATGCGTTGCAGAAAACTATTATGCTATTCAATGAAAAGTGGTTCAAAATGTGACCACATATGTTATAACGACGATATCATCTTTCCACTCTGGAAAGTTTATGTTTATGTTGAATATATGCAAAAGAATAATTTGAAATATCGCGTCAAAAGGTTATTTCATTACTTGCCACAAAATGGTGCTGGTATGTATAGGGTGTTCTAAATTTTTACCAATTTTATCAACAATATATTTCTTACAAATACCAATATATTCCATATGTAAAAGTAACAAAAAGCTCTTACAAAAAATGGTGCAAAAATTTGAAAAAGATGAAAACAAGGTTTTAAACAATTTATTAAAAAGTTATAGCAAAACTTTTTCAAATTGTTTTATAAATTTTTATTTATAGATAGAGGATGAAAGAATGTTATATAGATATGGACTCTTAAATGTTTTATCGAAGGATTACAAGGAATAGAATGAGTAATGAATGATTTTCCTTCTCCAATACATTATACGATTAATTGTCGACTTTCATATTTTTTTACAACCTTTAATAATGCATTCAGTCCATGTTCATAAAAGAAATTTTGTCTTATTTTTATTTATAGAATGCATGTATGCTAGTAAGATTATATCGGCAAAATTGGAACACCCCGTACGTGACATTATTCAACAAAGGAGTCTGTTGTCATTTCGTATTTCCCTTATAACTTTTTATCAAAGCGAAACTCTGATATAGCATTCATTTTTACTTTTACGAATGGAATATGTTAATGAATTTTCACGGTAAAAAGCTCGGATAGCCTGCATAATTTTATTGAAAGTGTACCTCTGAATAAATGAATGGAAAGCAAAATTTGATAAGTTATAAGCTATTAAGATAATGAAAACTAGAAGCAATATATTATCACGATAATGAATATCATGTTAATAAATTCTACCGATTGCAGAAGTGTTTCATGTTTGAATGCCATTTTGTGCTTTTCATATTTTAATTGTGAACAATTCGCATAACTTGATATCAAGTTTCATACACATATTTATTTATCCAACGTAATCAAATTTACCACAACCTTTATTCAAATAATGAAATATCGCTAAAATTTTTAATGTGTACATGCCTATCGCTGAACATTAAAATGAATTTAAAAATGTCAATTTTATAACTACAATATTATGAAAATTTATAGTGGTCCCAATTCGATGGCCAGAGACTGTATTTAAAAATGTTTAACGTAAGACATAAAGAAATTTAATGGATAAAATTTCCGCAGTAATATAATGACGTTATATGTTTTCAAAGTTATCGATTACAGATTGAAGAATAACGAACGTGTCTGTGTATGTAATTGATCGAAATGCATCAGTTCTTCGTGCCATTCTGTCTGTGATTGATTTGAGAGTTGTACAGTATGTTTCTTTTTGATTGTGCGCGATTGAGAAAAATTTGCAAGAAACGGCATTGAGTGATGCTGAACCATCGAACCTTGTAGCAGTACTGATTGATGTCGCAATCTGTTGAAAAACTTGTTGAAAATCTCATCAGTCAAATTCCCTTTTTTGTCGTACTTGACATGTTTTAATTGAATTTTGAAATCTCTTAGCATTATTCTTTTATTGTGGATCAAAGCTGCTGGAGATTCATTACTCACAGTATATGTGAGGAGTATTCACAATTCATTTTAAGATTATTTATTTAATTACGGGTTTTACTATTCTTTTCAAGTTTATTTATTTAATTAGCTAAATTTGTTTTTTCAAATATATCTGCTTTATGGATTTATACAAAAGTATTTTTTGATGAATACAAGTAATTATTGATTTGTTAACTTAAATATCAGTAATTATTGATTCTTCATATACAACAGAGTTTCTAAAGTTAATGTTCCGTGAATGTCGGAAGAAAAAAAAGTATAATATTTGGAATTTCGAGATGTCACATCAAATTTATTCAACGTTACATTTTGTAACGATTCATAAAATGATTGAGTATTTTACGGACAAGTATTGTGACAAACATTCACCATTTTCGTAATGTTATTAAATTTAGAAGTGACGATTAAGCAGGTCAAACAGAAGTTACGGTCTAAATGTGACGATAATGAAAATTAATTGAATTATAAGATTCACTAAATGAATTTAACAAGATTCACTAAAAGAGACATATTTTACTGTCTGAAACGATTCCTATCATTCTTCTTATCGTGTAATAAAAAGATCCTTAATTAGTATGAGAGTGATTATATTCCACAGAACAACCGAAAAAATTCCTTAAATTTAACAAATTATTGCTGTAAGGTTGCATGTCCTGCAAGGTTCGAAAATTAATTTTTCTTACTTTTTCGTTTCCTGCGAGTGCAAAGGAAATCGAAACAGAATTTGAGTATTTGTACATTAATAATTCCTAATTTGAAAAATGGACAGTTGAGAATTTACAATTAAAATTTAGTATCTGTGTGATCTTTAACCTTAGAAATTTTTAAATTTGGATATTTCGGAATTTGGGAAATTGGGTGTTTGGGAATTTGGGATTTGAAATTTGGAATTTGGAATTTGAAATTTTAGAAGTTTAGGAATTTAGAAATTTAGAAATTTAGAAATTTAGAAATTTAGAAATTTAGGAATTTGGAATTTTAGAAATTTAGGAATTTAGAAATTTGGGATTTGGAATTTGGAATTTGGAATTTGGAATTTGGAATTTGGTATTTGGAATTTGGAATTTGGAATTTTAGAAATTTAGGAATTTAGAAATTTGGGAATTTGGAATTTTAGAAATTTAGGAATTTAGGAATTTGGGAATTTGGAATTTGCAACCTTGTGGATTTGATAATTTGAACATTTAAGAATTTGTCAATTTGAAAATTTGGAAATTCGAGAATTTAGGAATATAGGTATTTGAAAATTTGCGAAATTTTAGAAACAGGCTACCTTTTCTGAAAATGTCAAAGAAATATCGATTTTGTCGAAAACCTAAACTAGAATACCTCTTCAATAGTTATATCTTTCTAGCAACACAAGTAAACATCCACAATTAATATGTAATTTAATAAATTTGAACAATCCATGTAAAATTAATATATATATATATATATATGTAAATATTAATTTGAGTAATAAACGTAAATCAAAATTGTAAATCACAATAATCTGCACAAAATCTTTAAAATTCAATGTAAAAGCTTCATTTACACTTGTTTCATCAATTAGCCCCGATACTACAGGAGAAGGATGCTGATGTGTCCCGGTAGACCACCCCAACCGATACCATCGACCGCTTATGGGGTAAGTGAACTTCCTCCCTCGTCGTTACAGCCTATCTATGTGTAGTAACTACGGATGGGTTAGAACCGAATTTTTCAATTCTCGAAACTCGAATCCGAAGCTTCATCAAATTTTGGAACTCTCGAAATTTGGAACGGTGATTTTGTTTTGCGAAGAATAATGTGAAGCGGGATAAGTGCAGACTGGTTTTTGTAAAGTTGGTATTTAAACGTAAGTATTTTCAGTCTGCTATGTAAATACTTAACGCTGTCGATATCGAACGCTTGCACAATTACTACTATTTAATTAATATTATCTAGGACCTTAATTTTCCTTGTATATTTTGATTTTGATAGGAAATTGTTTAAAATATTTATTACTCTGCACTTTCCCTGAAAATGGGGTAAGAGCGTAACTTGAAGATAAATACTTTATTTCATGTGCAATGGGGCAACAGCAGAATTATTAACAAGTCTGCTATAAAATGCTTTTTACTACATTATACAAGTATTCTATACTGCAAACAAGTACTCTTAGGTGAAATATAAAAGAGGATATAGTGAAAAAAAACAAGGAAAGAAATATACGAAATGGAGAAATTCGCTCATATTGTAATAAAAATAGCTTGTATACACACTTGCCCTGTTTACGAACATACCCCACTTCACCTTATCTTATTTTTCGGCAATATTTGTTAGACTTGCGCGCATCACACACATTCGCTGTGCAATTCTACGATCAAGTGTCGATTTGCTCATATCTTCGAAAATAAAAACTAAACCGAGCGTTCGTAAAGCATCGCACATCGAATATTCGCAATATACGATACGCGAATCAAATATTCTCGACGCATGCGAACGATGCTTCATTCGTTGATTTTATACTTTTTCTTATGTGAGTTTCGTGAGTTTCGAATCACAAAGAGAAGGTAAAGTTTCGATTTCTCGAAACTTGGAACTTTCTTGTGTTTCGAGGGGCTTCGAAGTTTCAACGTTTCGAGAAACCCATTCCTAGTAGTAACCGCAGAAATACAGCGTGGTCGTAAATCGCATCGATCTCCAACGACATGTGTTTCGTTCACGGTTGTTCGATTCGAGGAATGAGGATCGCTGATAACGGACTGGTTTGTTCTGTGCCATATTCATTCGACAAAATACTTTCAAATCAAAGTGGAATATCAGATACTTACCTTGGAACGAAATTTTTTGGAGAAGTGTGCGACTTCGGGTTTGAATGAATTCATGTTGGAAAATTATTCAGTATTTATATTTTTACGATACAAAGACTTTTTGAGCAAGTATGTTGTTAATATAATGCCTAGTGGTTGTTATAAATAAGTAATTGTAGTTATTAATATTATTAAGACTTATTTTTCATTATTTTTGTGATTTTTTTGTATAATAGCAAGTAGTTGTATGACAGCAGATTTAATCGTAATTACTATAATTTTATAAGTAACTGACAACGTCATGATAGATTGATTTATTAATAAGGCATGTTAATGATGTCAATAAGTATATTTACTAGTTTATATTTAATGAATGCTGAGTAATTGACGAATTTCTTAATATTGTGATCTTCCTTGTCATACATACATTTTTTATAGAAATACATTGAGAAGTTCCGAATACAAATTCTCGAGAAACAAAGTCAATTGTAAAAATTATGTTGGTTCCCATCTTTTATTTAGTTTTGCACGTAGCATTATTTCTTTTTTGATATTATTCGCAACATTGGTAGATTCAACACCTTTTCTTACTTTGTTATTTTACTATTCTATTATTGGATGTTACTATTTTACTATTTCATTATTTCACTATTTCACTATTTTACTATTTCAATATTTTAGTATTTTACTATTTTATTAATCATTTATTTTTAATAACTAAATACTGCTTATTCATTTATTGCAATCAGATAGGAACTCCTTAATAAACAACAGACTTAAAAGTCATATTTATGAGGGAACGCGACATGGATGAACGTGCGAGTGAGAGAGTGAAAGAGAGTATACGTGGAAGTGTGTGCGAGAGAGAGAGAGTATGAACGACTGCGGGTGAGTATGTGTGCGTGTGCAAAGAACGCGTGAAATTAACAAAAGAGTGTGCATGGCCAAAAAGGCGATCTACGACGCGAACAGACCTGTTTCGGACGCGTTCATGTAAAGACCTATTGTCCTCAATATTCAATATTCATTATTCGTTGTATTAAATTCATTTTGTTAAAAGTTGAGCCATCTTCATTCGACCGTCCCTCCGATCCATTCCTACATTTATATTGTAAAACTTATAGGAATGGCTTCTATCACTATGTAAATTTATTTTAAGAAGTTAAATATTTATGTAAATGACAGTACGAAAACAGAATATTCAATTGGGACTTAGCGTAATTAATTGCAATTGCTGACCTAATAATGTCGACCGTAAACGAGTATATGTAAATATGTGCATCCACAACATTTAGTTGACATGCACTATACGTAATGATACATATAAATGCAAGTATCATCAGGCATTTAGTATTCAAATATATGCATATGTAAGTACTTAACAAAGTGTAACAGTATAGCATAGAATTTTAAGATCAGGTGTTTTGCAAGGTTCCCTAACAATTTTCACATAATCCTCTATTTTATTATCTATTGCAACAAGCAATATAAGTATACTTTAACAAAAGTTAATACATTCGTTTTATAACATATTCATATAATTTTATATCAATCTTGCTGAAATTCTTAAATATATATTTCCTATTCCAGAACAAGAAGTAAAACAAGATTACCTTTTCTTTAATTGCACATTATGTGTTTGTGATTAACTTTTTTTAGAAATTTTTTTATAAGTAGTAAATCGATCTGAAATATTAATCCAGAATTTTCTGTAATAGACTAAAGAGTTCTTAGTATAACTGATTGAGTTTTTCTCCAAGATGAATTATCTTTAGAAATAAAATGTTCGAGTTACCATTACGAAAAGTCATTAATAAATTACGTTGTTTAGTAAACATTAATACATGCATTATTTCATTTTAAAAATATCCAGAACTTTTCTATAGACCCAATAATATTGCTTAAAAGAACAAAGTCTTAAATTTTCACATTAACCAAAAACTACCTAAATCATCAAAAATACAATGGGTCCAAAAAATATTTGTTCACATAGTTTTTTGTAATAATATTTTACAAACAAATGATACATGAACAAAAACTACTTCTGTCATTAGCCTTTCATAAACAAAAGACAATATGTATATTAACAATTTTAATAATAATGGCTTCCTTAAGAATAATACAACCAATACAAACACTTAGCAGGCAGAAAGGTTTATATTGTGTTCAAATGAAATTTTAGTGGTCGTATCAGACTGCAGATCGCTGTTATTTACGACTCCCGCTATATTTCAGTGGTCACAGTACATGGCGAAGGCACAGTCAAGAACTGTATACCCTAATTCGATTTTCAGTGGCAGATACCGAACGGTTGCTATCTGAGGTACACGAGAATCTTCTCTGGAGCGTATGCAGCTCAGAACTATCGAGGACAGAGACAGAATGGTTATCAGGAAGCGAATGCGGCTTATCACGAAGTTCATCCCATTCATGGGAGCCAAGGTCATCCTCAACTACCTAGATCGTATCCCATTGGAGACTGTAAGTTACTGCCCGTTTCTAAACTCTAATACCTAGCATTGCTTACCCTGTTGCTGTACAACCACCAATACAGGTCCGAACCAATAGATTGTGATTTGCAAATTTGCATTTTAATTCGTTTCGGCTTATACATTTCAACGAAATTGGATTTAGAGATATAGTGCGATCGTAAAATTATTCAAATGTTGAAAAACTTGAACTTCGTGTTCAGATTCGCGAAATTAAATTATTTCCGACAAAGAAAAAATTATTTAATTTCTGTTTGGAGATATGCAATATATGTAATATGTGGAAATATGCAGTATATCTGAAGTTTTATTGAAATTATCATCCGAAGTCTTAAAAATGTAAAATTAATAATTTTAGAAACTTGTAAAATTTTGAAATTGAATTTTTTTAGAAATCCAGCAAGACTTGCTGTATTTAGAAATTGAGCGTTTACACTGTTTAAAAATATTTGAGTCTAACAGCATGTTGTAACATATTTTAAGATTGTGTATGGCACAACATATATTTTTTAGTATTACGTTCTGGGTCATCATTAAACATTTGCTATATTTTTATATTGAAATATTCATTTTTAATGTCTTCTGTAAATATTTAGTAATTACGCGTTATCACATTTAGATAAAATATAAAAGTAAACAATTTTCATTCAATAATGTTTCCTGAACTACTTTTTTTACTGTTGGAACATCCTATTTTAAAAATTTGATTCTTTTGATACTTGACAAGTAGGAAATTATAATTAATTATAATGGAAATTAAATATATGGCTAATTAATTTATTAAGCATTGATTTCCCATTCTAGATTATATCTTTGTTTACAGTAGTTATGGTAATAACACAAAGATACAGCGGCCATTACATACGAAAGCTATTCAAATTTTGGGATTAGGCTCCGCAAAAGTGGGGGATTGATAGTGGTTTGCGTCGACTTTGAATAGCGCGGTTAAGGGAGCATCGAGAAGGTTCTAGTAGACTCGCGATTTCCGCTGGCTACCTCGCGGATCGGAAATTGCGAGTGTATCGTCTCACTTACCTCGTGGTCGCGTAGCCATAAGCACGTGTTCATCAACGATCGATTGCGATTACATATTATATATATATATATATATCTTTTGTTTCATGTGTGTACAGAATTATAACCATTTATATTAATAAAAGCGCGAAGCTGCTCACATACAATTTTGTGTAATTTAAATTTTATAACTTACTAGTACATTTACTAAAGTGTAATTTAAATTTTATAACTTAATAAATTTATTAATGTGTAATTTAAATTTAATAACTTAGTAAATTTATTACATTTAATTGAACTGTTATCAACATCGTTATTAAAAAAAAAAGAGAATAAAACATTAAACGCTTTCCATTTACATCATAATTTATGGTCAGAATGTGTAATAAAAATATCCGTACAATCAGATATTATTTTCTGGTTGTTTTATTCGCGAATCGACTCGTGTCAGAGAAACAGGAGAAAATTGATAATAAAAATCCTCTTCTGTTGGGCGCAAATCCTTCGCTTTATTAAATGATTTTGAACATTTCGTTTAAAAATATGTGATAAGCGTAAACACCGCGAGCTACGAGAGAATTTCAGTAGAATTCATTCGTTTCGTTTAATTTGTCAGTTTGATATGATATTTTCCACAGAGAAGATACACGAGAACGTGCACGATTGATTAATTTTAAAATTCCGATTTGCGTGAAAATTACTTCATGATGAATTGTATGCAGGTTACGTTTCAAACAGATTATTTTCCAATTGTTATCGTTGAAATATTTCGTTTTGTCCACTCGAGGATACAAAGTGATACTGCAATGGCCGCTATTTACGATCGATCGCAGAAAAATTAGTGTCATTTAGGATTTAACCAACAAAACCAGAAATCCTACGAGTCCTACGGGACTGCTTGGGATTCTGGTATTAGTCTCTATGTTTCAAGCAATTAGTTTGAATTGCTCAATTGACTACTTCATTGCAGCGTTCTGTAAAAGATCACCAATGTTTTGTAATTTGTTTGCAATGCTTTGTGATATTTAGGTGCGAAGTCTCTTTTATTAAAAACAAGAAAAATGTTGAGACACAAGTAATAGAGACAGATAATAAACTAAAAAAAAAGTAAATGATATAAGGTAACAATTCTTCCTAGTGTTTTTATTTCTTTCATTGTTATAACGAAATTTTCGGACGATATTAATTTTTCCTCTTCATGAGAATTTTCAAGAATATTTCATTGAATTTAATTTAACTTCATCTAATTTATATTTTAACTTAATGTGACAATGACACAAAGAAAAATATATCTAAACTAGAATAATAGAGAAATAAGTAATCTTACCAAGAAACAAATAGTACAGTCTGAATAACGAATAAAATTTGATATTCAAGTAAAAATTTTATTGTATAACCGAACCTACATAATATTAATACCAGAGAATCAAAAATCTTTAAGGAAATCCTTAAGCGAAATTAATGAATCAACAAATTATTTCATCGAATAACGCATGAAATAACAAATAATAAACACTGAACAACGAAATCAAATTTTATTCAATATATTAGAATTTCTGTGAACAACCTAACCTACAATTGATGTAACAAAACGATCTAAAATTATATAATAACTAATCAACAATCTTCCAAGAATATTCTTAAACGTAGATAATAAGTAAAAAAAATTGTATTTTTGAATAGTTTAATAAGAAACTGACATTCTATAATAAATAAAATCTTATTCAATATTTAAGTACAAGATTATTTTTACAATCTAACCTAATACACTGCGGTGCATAACTATAGCACCATCTACTATTTTAGTTGTTTGTATCAGAACAATTCAATTCTTATGACGGTGAAAACGCACAAATTTATTTCGATTATCGTATAACAAACGTATTATAATTAAGTCCTGTAGCGAGTGATAAACAAAGCAATTTGACGATACCAAATCAAGTATCAGTATTATAATCAAGTAACGAAATATTGGATCAAGCAATGAAAGTCTTTGCACAATGTCAAAATATGAAGTCCGCAACGACATATGCGAAATAAACGCGCAATGGCAAAATATAAAGTACAGTCCGTAATGACAAATACGAAGTAAATCCCGTAGTGACAAAATATAAAGTGAAGTGCAGGCCCCGGTGCCCTCTGAGGATGCGGGCCCCGGTGCCTTCGCTTATTTTATATGTTTCACTCCCCTACGACGTCTCCTAGCAACCACCCGATTTCTTCGAAATCTGCCACGTGCCCTCCGTCGACCTTGGCTTCGCGGTCATCCCTCTACGACCGATCCTTGCGATGCCGCCCGCCCTTTGCGGCCGAGCCGCCGCGCCGCCACGCCGCGCGCCGATACCGATGTCGCGCCGGCACTTGCCGGTACCCGCCGTCAAACGGAGCGGTCCGCACCTTTGTACGCGTTTCTGGAAAATTACGCATCAGGAGACGTCGCCAAGGAGTGTTTTTCTTTTCTGCCGAAGTACGCACCAGAATTCGCCAGCATTTCGCGGTGGATCAAATACTTATT